GGGGGTGGGGGTGGGTACAATAATCTTAGTAGCTTCATGCTGTGGAAACATATAAGAAGCTCTGGCTATAGTGGGCTGGGCTGCTAAGCTTGAGAGCAGTCTATTTATTTTCTTAATTACATTTTAGCACGAGAATGAACCTGCAGAAAATATGAAACCAAAGGAAGGTCAGGAAATGTCCAAATCTGCTGCTAAGAATAAGAAAAAGAGAGAGGCCAAAGCAAGAGCAAAGCAAGAACAGGAAGCTGCCATTGGGGAGGTAGTTTATCTAACTTTAACATTTCACTGCTGTTATATGTACATTATTGACCAAGTGCGAGGTCAATATATCTGGATGTTGGCCAACTTTTTTTTTTCACATTTCAGTGAACAGCAACAAAGGCATTAAGCCTGCATGCTATGTTATATTGATTAATGATGTGTCCTTTAGTGCTTGAAGAAACAACTCTTCTTGGATATTAATATTTCAGGTGGTAAATTCAAAACTTCCTCCACCTTCACCAGCATCACCACCAGTGGCCGATACAACAACACTTCCACCAGAGAAAGAAAAGAAGCTGAGAAATTTGAAAAAGGTAATACTGACATCACTATATCACACAGCCAACACAAGAAATCATTAAATGAAACAAGATATCTTCAAAAAAAAAAAAATGACCACAAATGAGAATGAGAATAATTGGAGATTACCATATTGGGCACTCAATAATTTCAGAAGGTTCATTGATGTACACTCTTTCTCTAAATTTTCCAACAATCACTGTCAAAATTAGTCAACACATATTAGCAGAGTTCTATTTATTTGAATAGCAGTCCTGCTTCTAGGACACTCTAAATAATGAACAGAACCCCCCCCCTCCCTCCCTCATTCAATGTCAGCTAAGAGCTAGTGGAGTCCTGATACAACCTTGTTTTTTTTTGGGGGGGGGGAGAGGGAGGAAGAAGGTGAATAGGTTAACTTAATGAGTGCAAAAGAGATAAAATTAAAGTAATAGGGGTTGAAAAGATCAATGTGTCAACAAGTTTGAAGCTGATTTTTGGTTACTCACTTTAATGGTAGGTCCGGGTTATGACAGAAAGTAGTGGAAAATACTCTGGCCAGAACATCTTAATTGATGGGATTAGTACTATATTCTGAGGTTTCCATGTCAATTGGAGACTTGGCAAAGTGGGTTACTTAACACAGAATACAGTTGTTTACAATGAAAAGTAGAGTACCAAATAATTGTTGCCATTTCTGGCAAGGGTCTTTGACCCATCTTTGGGAACTCAACCTTTCTAATGATTGTTGAAAAATCATGACTGTTTGACACAATTTTCCGCTCAGAAACTGCGTCAGATTGAGGACCTGAAGGAGCAACAGAAATCTGGAAAAACCTTGGAGAAAAATCAGGTCAGCTATGGATTATGGAAAGTGGATAGATTATTAAATAAAACATTATCAAAGCAAACAGTGAACTTAGGTACTTGACTTATGGTTTTGATCAAAGGGATTCAGGTTAAAGCCCTTACAAATCTCTAACCTTCCCTTAGACAACTCTAAATCAGCTGAAAATGTCACTGCAATGGACCATTTAGTTATTTTAATTTTCTACGTGACATCTGACTACAGTTTTCTTTTAACTCCTTACAGCTTGATAAGGTGGCAGCAGAGGCGTCACTCATAAAGGAAATCCAAGAACTAGAACTTGGAAGCTAACGCAAACTTCTACAATTCCTTTCATTCCCTGATGTGACCAAAAGGAATTTTTTCTTTCAACATCTAATACATTTTGGAACAGTATGGTGATAAGGAGAATGAAAAAATATACCAAAGTGTCATATTTGATTTGTTAAAAAAAATACCCAGAGCTAAAAGCGTATGAAAATCTACCTCAGGCAGTAAAGAGAGTTGACATCTATATCTTAGAATTGAAAGGGTTCAGTAACTTCTTAGTACTTTCTACAATATCAAGAATTAAATGAAACTTATGTTCTACAAAGAGTATTAATGGACAGCAACAAATAATTTGTATGTATTTTGTCATAACATCAAAACAGCCCTTAGTCTTCTTCTACTGTGTTAGTATTTACTACATTATAGGTGATCATGAACCTACATCACTATACATGATTGATTACGTAAACAATGGTTTTTTTTCTTTAGTCCTTAGGGAAATGTTTGATGCATGGAAGGTTTATGTTGTTTTCTCCTCACAAAGTAACATTCTTTTCTCAAGGTTGTACTCAGACAATTTTGTGAATCCATAACAAGCCATCTGTTTTAGTTTGCTTTCATGTTTGGCAAAGTCAGCCTGAGATCTTCCTTAAAATATTTCAGTTTCCTTTAGTGACAAATTTGTCCATACAAATTTCTACTCTGCCAAGAAATGTTTCATTCTACTCTAGAAACAATTTTCTACTCCACATTATTTCCTGCTTTTTCCTTCCATTTCCGCCTTTTGAGTTGCATCTGCTCTCTTTCTTCTTTGATAGGATGTCGCATACAAGTATAAGCACTCCTTGTACGTAAATACGTTGTCACTGATCTCATCCCAGTGTCTGAATACCATACTGAGGATGTTCCCTTGAAGAGAGACATTGGTTTCTGACAGTCCTAGTTGTACTCTTGACCCACTTCCAGACCCACCTCCTGTCCACCAACTGCCCAGATTCTAAGTGAGTTATCACCGTGCATCTTCATTTCTTGGTCCATCGTATTTTCATCATCACTGTCATTCTCAGGCTCTACAAAGTGACGTTGTCCAGAGGTTGTAGCCAAAAGAGGAAGACTGGGATGGAAACTGTTGAAAACGAAAATGATTTCAACTGAGCTATCAAAGTTGACCCCTCACTGTAATAATTACAACCACTTTACCCTTAATACCCTAACATCAGTATGCAGTTTCTCCATACCATTCTCTATTATTTCCTATGTTATTTACTAGGAGAATTTGTCTAACAATCAATTGTCTTCATTCTGGTGACCTTAAAGATTGATTCAAGGGTGGTATTGTTGGAAAAAATTAGAAGCTTAATAACTACTCGTCCATTTAACACTCATTCAAAAGTTTCATTTATTCAATACCACCACCTTATTTTTGGCCCAAAAAAATGCTATCAAATGGGAAAAAATTATAGTTACTTGCATCAATGATTATCAATTAAAGTTATCTAAACTCAACAACTACCAGGCTCCATTTGTCAAGTCTCCATGTCCAACAAATGTCATAACAGGTTGCAAGATAGCTTCTGTGTTTGAGGAATCATCAACTGGGGAAAGAGTTGAATCCCAGACAGTAACAATACCATCACCATTTCCAGAAATTATGTATTGACCAGATCTGTATCAAAAACATTACAAACAAGGTTTAAAGTAAGGGGAACAAGTTGGGGGGGAGGGGGTCAGGAGACAGAAGAGGAAAACAGAGAGTAACTTAAAATGTTACAGGTCAGAGAAGTCTGCTGTAGAAATGCTAAATTTTTTTCTCTTCCATCCTAAGATAATCAAAGAAAGTTACTTTTAGCTCGTATTGTTTTTCAAAAAAGTATCTTAAGTTTGCAAGAATTGTCTTCAAATGTGGTAAACATTCAACAGTGGAAGCCCCATTTTGAAACAAACTCTCATTAACCTGACTGTGAATGTACAATGCCCTGGAATTCAACCCAGAAGGCAGGACCCTCAACCCACAGTTTGCAAATAGCTGCTGTTTTTGTTATCAGCCTCTCTGTTTTCATTCAGCTTGGGTATCAGTTTGAATTCAAACCATTTGAGTGCAGGGTATTGTTGGCAGAAGTCTGTTTATGCCGTAAGATGTTTTTAATGCAGAACTTTTTCCGTTTTTGTAATTACTTTTAAATTAATTGGATAGAAGTTAGATTTATGGCAGGTCCACATCAGCTTAATGCTGCCAGTAACTAACCCAGGCTGGGTTGTTCAAAGCTGTGTTAAGATAACCCAGGGTTAGTGTGAAATTTGATTTCAGATCTGACAGCTCTGAAAGAAAATTCAGCTTAATTTCATTTGTCTACAATTTGATGATGGAATGTCCTAAAAAAAACTAGGAAAAATTATCCCAAAATGGCTTTTGATTAGAGAAATTTAGAAACCTGGATTAAAATTTAACCCTGGGTTAGAGCTAATCGGCCTTTGAACAACTGGGCCCTGCATTACCAAATAAACTATGTAACTATGTATGTAGGGTTTGGAAACAAACATGTAAGGTCTAGGAGACTGGGAGCAAGATATTATTATGTCTTGTCAAGATTATTATTACAATCATACCTGTCAATATCAAAATAAACTCTCTGATTCGTATCCACTGAGCGCATCATGGAATACAGAACTTTTCCAGGATTTCTCACATCCCAACAGAGAATTTCATTATCCTATGGAAATAATCAGATGCATGGAGGAAATAGACAAAGTTTAGTACTATTTTAAGTAGTTTGGTACATATGTTAAAAATGAACAATAAGTTAGCTTCCAGGGGAAACCCAATCAGTACCTTTCTCCCACCACTGTAGAGCTTTGTCCCATCTGGAGAGAACATAACATGGGTTACTCCACCCTGCTGTCCTTGGAGTAGAAAAATAAGCTCACCATCGGTATCAGAGTAGACACCAACTGGGGAACAAGGAAAAAAATAAATGAATCATTTTAACTGAAAATAATTATAGCCCTAAAATTAAAAATAATATAATTTTCACTTATCTATGTCCTGGGAACAACTGGAGGCAAGTTTCCTCTCTCTAAGACCTTGTTCCACCCTGTCATTTCATTATTTTGTAAAATCAAGATACCTGATTTTGAGTAGGATCCCAAAGCATACACTCCAGAATTGTCAGGACTAAATGCAATACAGGAGATGATTCCAACATGACCTTCCTTTTTAACTGCAAAGAACAGCATAACATACATTTTCAGTATGGACAGTCTGATCTAAGAGTAATTTTTCAATGGCTGAGTGGAACTAAATAAGTGAAAAATGTTTTTCTCATGCGCCGCTGGGGCCTGGGTATAGGTCATGTGACCTATGGGCCAGGCAGTTGTTTTTGTTGTGTCCACCATTGCCGACTTTCCTGCCCAGCCACCCAAAGATTTTAAATGTTTATACAATACCAGTAGAATGTACTACCCTGGAACTTTTTTTGTTATTTCCAGTCTTAGTGTGTGCTACTTGTAGTAGTCTTGAATTTGCAATAAAGGTCAAGTTGCGGCAGTCAGCTTGACGTGGCTGGCTACCAGCGGTGAGAAATGTATTTCAGACCTCAGAGAATTTGAGTGTAAAAAATTTGAAATCTGCAGATGGATGATTTTGGATTATATATCCACAGTATTTCCTCAAAACCAAAAGTGGCATAAATGGAAATTTAAAAATTTTGAACAAAAGAAAGACTACAAGTCTTAGAACACCTGATTTTAAATAGAAGTCTTTTGCAACAATGTGACCAGGAGTTTAATAACAATTGGACCCTAAGTCAAAGCCCTTCCTGAAAAGCTCCTTGAGGCTTCACAACATTACCTGTCTTCACCAAAAGGATACAACCACTTTTTCCATTTCAAGAATGTTGGTATCAACAAGGTTAGTGACTAAAATGCAATATGCTGCATAGACCTGTAGTTTGTCTTTCCTGGAAGTCTCTCCCAGGTCTTGTTGTATCAAATACTCTGACCATCTTGTTAAAGCCACAGTAGATTTGACTGCCATCTAAGTTGAAAGACACACAATTTGCTGCAACCACTTCATCCTTGTGGAAAGAAAAAAATCAGGAATGATAAAATTAAAGTTATGGCTTTTTACTCTTCTCATTAGAAACACTGTCTATTTTGCCATAGGAACAGGCCCTAAGAAAAAGATTTTCATCAATCAATTTTTTTCCAAAAATGTGATATCCAAGTACAATAAATTTTACACAAGGGGCATTGATATTCGTTTGGTAAAAACTGTACATTAAAAATTTTTCAGCAGCTGAAGATTTTTTTAGCATTAATCATTTTTGACCAACCTCACTACACAATAATTAAATTCAGTGCTGGTGACTTGTTACTACTAATAGATACTGGTGGCCACTGCTGTGTCAAAAACTACATGGAAATTAACTAATATGAAGGGGTTATTTCAGGCTAACAAAGCAAATACTTATTGAAGTGAACTAACATTTACCAAGTGATTGTAGGTTCTGTAGGTGCACCTTATTGCTCCTGTGAAAGCATCCCACATATGGATAGGATGATCACGGCTGCTGCTCAGCAAACTGCAATGACAGTGATGATCAAAATGTAAGTAATTCAGAGACAGTTGTAAAACTGAGTTTTATGATTTACATATAAAGTCAACACCACAGGTTATATCTGGCAGCTGTTTCATCTTAGGAAGAACACTGCAGGTCCCTAAAAATGTAACCTTTTGTCCAAAAATAGCTTGTGATTACTGATTGACTTCTATGTGTAAGACCCAGCAGAAAGTCGAGCTATCAAACCCTTAACTGGGTGAATTCTTTAGAAAAGCAAGTCACTAAGAGTAAAATAAACTCACTAATAAAATCAGATAATAAAAATAGTTCATGTGAATTTAGCACACTTTCAGTTGTGACATTATGTGGATAGAAATCTCATGTCTCAGACTCCAAAAAGATAGCAGGTATACCCTTGGTCTTTTGTTCACATGGAAAGGAGGGAATAAATTTCATAGACCACACATTCCTAGGTGCACACTACAAGGGTCTCAGATCCATCTATGTAAAGTTTCAACCTGACTTTGCACCACAACCCACTCTCATAAAGCATTATCTCTCGCACATGCCAAAAAAATAAAAACATCTTGACAATTCCAATTTTTGAAAGACACAAATCAATTTAGACAATTGCTACTGATAATTTTTCTTATAAAGAAAAAGGCTCCCTATGATAAATTCTCATAGTTATGCCCTGCTTGCCAGGTATAATGTATTTAGGACCTAATAATAGGGAGGTGGCATAGCCAAGTAGTTGGGGTGCTGGACTTGTAATCTGGTGTCCTGGGTTCAAGTCCTCCACGCTGCCACTTACTTATTTGTTAATTTTCTTGGTTGCCCTGAGTTCAACCCCTTGGCTGCGCTCTGTAAATAGCCCACTGGTCTGCCTTCTGCCAGTGGGGATTTTCAAATACTTAGTTAGGGAGGGCCATTATGTAAACTACTAGCCAAGGCTACTGATAATAATGTATTTCACCCTCAATATTAAATAAAGTATTTTATTATTAGTTTTTTTAATACTCTGTCGAGTGACTAAAATCATACCAGCAAGTGTCAGGATCAAGTGATGACATAAATGGATACCAACAGTAGTCATAGACTGTCTCTCCCTCGTGCATCTGTAAGACTGATACCTTAAAGAAAGCAAGAATAGTCCCTTTTACAGTTGTGGGCTTGGTGGCCAAGCCTTTGAACAGGAGTGAGGCTAAGGGTGACCCTGTTGTGATAGAGACCTGTAACTAGTTAGCATGATAACAGAAGTAATTTGCATTTGAAAAGCAGCAACATCTCTGTCATAACAAGGTCACCCTAAGCCTCACTCCTGTTCAAAGGCTTGGCCACCAAGCCCACAACTATAAAAAGGACTATTCTACATGGCTGAGTTTTCATAATAATTACTGTCATTAACTGCCCAAGTTTTCTTAAAGGTTTAAAGCATTAAGCAGTTAATGAACAATAAAAATTGATTATGTGGTATAAAACAAAGCAGTTTATGCACAGTATTTTTTGACTGACCACCACTGTTACATACACTTTCCCTGGAAAGTGATTTATTCAACATTAAAAATAAAAAAACAAAATATTTTGGCATAATAACGTATGTTGGTTTAATTTGTGCTTGTTAACAATTACATTAATTTTATTCAGTTACAGGCAAAAATGATCAGATCATTAGCTACCATTTCTGATAATCCTTGCACAGCATTCCCACTGTACAATTCCACAGGAAGGTTAAATATCCTGAGGGTGTTGTCATCACTGTTGGTCAGTATACATGTACCATCAGGAGACCTCAGATAAGTAATAATAAAAAAAAATTACCAGAAAATCTGAAAACCATGAGCATTCTAACTAACTTGAAGGGAGACACAATGGCTAAAAAGTTTATCACGAATGCCGTATATTACCCAAGATCATGAAGGTTAAGGCAAGAGTTCCATTCTACACAGAATATCTTCCACTATCTTGAGCTCACTCATCATTCCCTCCATGTTTTTGGAGAAGGGTGCATTTGCATGCTCATTTTTCCACACATTAAATGGTAATCAAGCTCAGCTATGGCCCAATCAGTGCATTGTGTTCTTGGACAACATACCTTTTAAAATCTCAAACTGCCTCTCTCTATCCATGAGTATTATGGGATATCAGAAAATTGTTAAAAAAAAAAAAACTTTATGACAGACTGTAAGGTCAGTTACCAATTTGTGACAGACTGGCATCCACACCAAGGTCAATAGTATACACTACTTAACCAATAGAGTGTTTCTGTCAAGGAACTATCAGCTGATAGTTGCCCTGCAGAAATTTGATGTTCTTGAAACAAATAATTATCTGCCTGAGAAGCGAAGCTTCAAGGGCAAATATGCTAGTTTAAAGAACATCAAACTTCCAAAGGGCAACCATCAGACCGATAGTTCTGAGACATAAACACTCTATTGTACATGTCTTTATTGTTCACTACTACATTTTCTTCTGCTCGTGTAGCACGTTGCCGGAGACACCTATGTGTGTATGATTTTTATTCGATTTGCATACAACGTGTTATGCCCTAATACTTTGTTATGCCCAGATTTTGTTATGCACTAAGCACATTTTTTTTAAGAACATCAAATTTCCGCGGGGCAACTATCAGCCGATAGTTCCTCGACAGAAACACTCTATTGCTCAAATAGTGTCTCTCCAAGGATGAACACTGTCACATCATGTGATCAATTTAAATCAATAAGAATTGGAGAAAATTTAGCAGTGAACTATAACGATTGATAGACCAGGCATTGAGCTTCAGAGGTTTAATAATCTACAGTTTTATTTCAAGAGTCATTCAGCACATCCACTTGAAGAGCACTACCTGTATATCACCCCTTCTATGGAAACCCTCTCCCCTTGGCCATGCTTACCACTTGCAACCCTTGAGAAAGTTTGAAGCTGAGCCATCGAAGTCTTCCCAAGCTCCTGTTACTTGTTGTGGAACAAAATTAAAGTTGTAATGAACTGCAGAGTATCTGGTAAAGGAGGAAATAAAAATGGTGATTTCACAATGTCAAATCTACAAGCAACATAGCCCTAAGGAAGAAACTGACTAAAAGTTAAGAAGTTTATCCCATGATCGCTACACCCCTATCAGACATGTTTTTTTTTCTTACTAGTTGTCTGACTTCAAAATCCCTGCAAAGACAGGATCTTCTGATACAATGAATATAAGAAGTTCATATATTTTGAACTGCGATATTAGATACGTATGATGCACGATCCTCGCAGTAGAGAGCGCTATTTATGCAATAGCGAAAATCAGACCTGAAAAAAATCAGGCCTGTATGGGATTCGAACCACTGACCTCTGCGATACTAGTGCAGCGCTCTACCAATTGAGCTAACAAGCCAACTGGGAGCAGGCCGTTAAGTTGATTCGTAATAAACCCGTGATGATAAATCAGATACAATGAATATATGAAGTTCATATATTTTGAACTGCGGT